CTCCTGGGAGCCAGCCGGCGGCCGAGGTCTCGCCTTCAGCCCTTCTCAGGGAGCGCCGCCGGCCTCCCAGACCGCCCGGGGTGGGGGTGGCTGGGGAGGGTCTCGGTGGTTTGCCCGAGGAGGATGTGAAGCCGCTGCTTCGCTTGTACCCACCATCGCAGGTGACTGAGAGCCCCTCAGGTGTTGCTCCCTAGGTAGCCGTCAATTATCTTCATCGCTGGGTAATTAGACCTTACAGCAAACGAATATATAGAGCAAGTGAAAAGCCCTTGCTTCTGAGCTGCTATTAAATTGCAGGGTAGGTTTGCTGTTTCTCTATATAGCTCTCTTTTCTTCCCACATCCTTTCTTCAGGATATCAATAGGGGTAAATAATACTTTGAATACAGCACCCTTGCACTGGAAGATCTCGAATTGCTTCACAAATTAGGGTAAGTGACCCCCATCTTACAGGTAGGCTGTAGCTATGCCACCCGCAGCATTAATACCTTTGTAGGTGGTAGTGGCCACCCTGGTTTTTGGATCTGGGAGCACAATGAGCAGAGACTTCAGAGAAAGCTAGTTTTACTGCAGCTGTGATAACAGTTTACATAACAGAGGAAAATACTCCCATATCACAGCAGCTTTGTTCTCATCTGTTTTGGTAGCATAGTGAACAGTGACAAACAAGGACAGGAAAAAAAACTTTTTAGAGGTAAAAACGATTGCTATGTATTACTTAAGAGTGTGAATTAGTACTGGAAACAGGCTTAACTCTATCTTAGAGCTGATGTCTTGGTGCCATGTATATTGCCTTCTGGTAACCAATGTTTTTTTCCCTCTCTAGGACACACTGTCAGAATAAGCTTGTTACATATTATTCCTCACCTAAATATACTAACCCTATGCTTAGTTTAGTTTGGTTCACTGAATACACTACAAATGTTTACTGAACACTTGGTTCTGTAAGCTGCCAAGAAACTTGCAGTTAATCTGTGTATCAGTTTGAAAGCCACAAAACTAATAGGAAGTACAATAGCAATGGGTAGAGCACAAGGATCTACACTTGGCAGATACAGATTTTATTTCTTCCTTGGTAACTGACTTGCTGTGTGACCTGTCTTCTTTTCTTTGCACAGCTGTTTCCTGATGTTTAAAACAAGGCTAACAACACTTTCATAAATGACTCCAAGATCTCCAAATGAAAAAGGCTTGATATTATGTAAGAAATCTGGTAGCTCCAACTTTCCTCCTGAGAAAAGAGGAAGTACTTAGAAAATATTAAACAATTCTTAAAAGATTTAATTAGTCATCTCTTATGAGTACAAGTAATAAACTTTGTTTTACTTTGAGAGATGCTCAGCAGCTCTGTAAGGCTTTCCCTTCAGTACTGGATTTGTAAAATGAGACTTTGAGTTGAATTGATTCTCACCTAGTATAAGTAGTACTAGTTGAAATAACTTTCCACCTGAGTTTTGCATATACATTATCTGTCTGACAGATGCTTTAAGACATCTGTCTTAAAAGAATTATTGTGGACAGCGTTCATTCTGTATTGTAGTGCTTCTTTACAAATTTTTCTGAGTAATGATCACAAGATCAGTATAGGAAGTTCACAGGCTCCTTCTACTGGACCTCAGTATACTTAAATAGCATAATTCAGACTTTTATTTGAGGCTTTTATTTACTGACATGGTTTTTCCTTCATCTCTTTGTCATTCTGATCTCTCCTACAACTGCAAAAACTTGTTTTTCTGTGATTTTCTGCCTCTTGAAATACAATTTGAATAAAGACTTTTATATTGTAATTTTTAAAACTTCCTCTCCTCTGTTGTTCACAAGTTTAAATATGTCTCCCATGGAATGGCTGAGAACAAAACTACAGGCGTGATTTTCCTTCTGTTGTTTCCTCCACATGCTGCCTGAACACTAAGTTTGTAACCCTGCAAGCTTATGAACTTTTGCTAACTGTGAGGGTAGTTTGATTCGTGTCTAAAGAAGTTATTAATTTTTTTTAAAGGTAAGTGTGGATATGTGCTTTTCGCGGGACTGAGGATTTAAATAGCTATCTCTAAATAGCATTCAAAGTTAAAAATCTCTGCATCGATATTTTTGGTAGGGATATCTCTTGACAATATTTGTTAACTTACTGCAGTTCACCTAAATCCAGTGTGCATAATATGGCACCTATTATTTCTGTAGATTACACAAAAGATAACACCCTGTTGTTAGTACCGGTCTCTTATAGCTCTTCCTCCTTTTTGCAAAAAGAAAGTTATGCTGAAGTTGTCCTCTCCTCATAGTGCGAATAATCAGTTCAAGAGCTGCAGTGTCAGCCTGGTTCTATAGGCCTTTATGCCAAGTTCTCATGGTCTGTTCCTGAGTGGCCTGCTCCTCTGAACTTGTATATGTTGCAATCTCCTCATGGCAGAGAAACACCTTCTATATTACAGTGATCAAACAGAGTGCCTTCGGTACCAGTCAAAAATGTTAATTAAATGATCCAAGCTCATAAAATGATTGCTTGTTGTTCGCTTGTTTTCCCCTTGCAGTTTGGGTTTCCAGATGCTTGGATCTTGCATCTGAGGGCTGAGCTTGGTCAGAACTGTTGGGATATTGGCAAAGTCTCAGTGTTTGGTGTTTAAGTTGCCTATTCCTATTTTTATCTGGTCTGAAAGTTCAGCGACTGTTTCTAGGTTTATGTTCCTGCAACAATGTAATGCTAGCAACCAATAACATAGACCATTAAAAAATGCTGATTCAAACTTTGCTGTGTTCTCCTGTGGTTTCTGAGATACTGGCGTTATTCATAATGTCAATTATCTATCTGCCATATCTTGTGTATAGAAAGCAGTAACCTATCGCCATTCTCATTTGGGTGGAGAAACCCCTTGCACATTGAATGGCAAAAATCAATGTTTCTTATACCTGTTATTTAAATGGTGTGTCAGCCATGTTCAACTTTTCAGGGGAAAAAACGTAGTATCTCTAGAAGCTTCTGTTACTTACTAAATTTAAAAAGAACGTCCAAAGTGAAGAACTGCACAAAATATTCTGTCATCACTGCATGAAATAAACTTTCTTTTTATGTTCCTGGTGAGAGAATGTATAGTCAGTTCATCAGTTTCTTCAAAGTTTTAAAGCCTTAGGGCAGTCAGTTTATCAATAGAGCTGAATAAGAGGAGATAGTTTCTTTACAAGATGACATTTCAGTGTTAAGGCAAGAAGAATGCAGTATTTGCTTTGTAACTAGAAGTCAAGTTGTATTTCCTTCACGGGACTGTAAGACCTAAAAAAAAAAAAATATATATATATATACATATATATAGGGAGACCTGCAGACTTCTGGCTTCATAATTGATCCTGTCTTATTTTAATTTAGACAAAAGGCATTTTCTCCTTAACTGATTTATTACCGGAACTTCTGCTAATTCTTGAACTGAACTGTTAATAATTGGAGGAGGCAATAATAGTGCTAATAAATCCTGATTTTTATTGGAATGAGTGGGATTCTTTGATTTCAGTGGGACTGAGCCCTCGTTGCTGTGTCATTTATTTGAGGCCTGTATGTTCCATCATTTATATCATTTGTGATATGCTATGCATTTTAGTTGTTCATTCTAACCATCTCGATTATAATTTGTCTTTGTGTTTATGTCTAAGCAGTTTTCATTAAGACTAATGAAAATACTTTTGTTATGGCTATCACCTTAACAGACTCACACAATGCTTTTTCATTACTCTGCATGTCTTATGGTGACCACTGTGATTGCTCGTTTCAGAAATAAAAATGGTATCTTCATTTACAGAGTCAAAGTGCCAAGCAGAAGATGTCGGAGAGTCATTCAGTAATGTTCAATATTCTTAAAAGAAATAGGTTAATGTCTCCAAACAACAATGCTAAATACTCCAGTTTTAAAGACTCGTGTACCAGTTCAGTATTTCTGGAGAGCAGATCCAATGAATTATTAAAAGATCCTAATGTAGAACAGAAAGATGCATGGAGCACAGCAAGTCTGTCATTGCTACATGAGCATTCTGAGCATAATCATTCAAATTTACTCTTTCCTGTGTCATCATCTATTGAAAAGGAAATTAGTTCCATCTCCTTATCAGAAAGAAGAGAAGCAAACAGAAGTACAGATTTTTTTGAAACTCCTAAAGTGAGTAAAAAAGACTCGTCACTACGTAGGAGACTGCTTTTATCTAAGACTGCTCCAGCTGGCACCACTATAGGATGCTGTGAAAGACAAGACAGTTCTTCAGGAAGTAGCAGGAAAAAAGTATTCTCTTGTGTTTTGAGCTTTGAAGAAACACTTTCACAAACTTCAGGCTCTCCAAGAGTTAAAAGTTACAAACCTCTTGCAACTAGCACGTCAAAAACTGAAGAGTCTAGTCCTGATAGCCAAAAGAGGAGACTGTCCTTTTCACAGCAAAGGTCTTCTACGCTAGATGAGTCCAAATGTAAGGATGCAGTATTACCGGAACCAGAATGTTTATCTCCAATTCGGAGCAAGGACAATGTTGGTAATACTAACGAATGCAGTGAAGGTGTCCTTATGAGTGTTAGTGGTGGGTTGCTTCGGACTCCTACTCATAGTATGTTACCTGAGGCTAACGAGAATAAATCCCTGAAGTCTATCAGCAGTCTTGTGGAGAAGTTTAACTTTGAACTATGTAGTATAAACACTCCCCCTGTTAAGCTGGCAAGTTACCCAGATCTATCCACCCCTGAGGATAGTGGATATAATTCACTTCATCTGGATAAATCGGGAGACTCATTGTCTGATCATGAGGGATCTTTCCAAGAGTTCATCCAAAAACACAAAGAAGCTTCCAAAAATCTGGATAGTAAAAGAAAGACAAGAAAACTTGAACGGGTTAGAAGATTATCAACTCTTCGGGAACAGGGCTCACAGTCAGAAACAGAAGATGATCATCATGCTAACCCTTCTAATTCAGTGTATATCTTAACAGAAGAAAGAAACTTTGTCAGTGCAGACCATGCATTGGTTTCAAAAGATGAGACTAATAGAGACTTTGTTCTAAATCATGGAGATCTCTCAAGAACTCCTGCTCTGCAAATAGTCCATGAAATTTGCTTGCAAAGCCAAAGACTAGACCAAAATCAAATCTCAGAGACAGTTGATGGGAAAGAAATATTTGTATTAGATGTTCTTGCTGGACTTATAGGCAAGAAAATGGGCCTTGAAAAATTAGATATCTTAACAGAATTAAAATACCGAAACTTAAAACATGTTCTTGCTATAGTGTTAGATGCTTTGACAGTGGAAAGTCTATGCAGGTAAGTACTATTACTATACCATGATACTTACTATGTAGGTAAGCTCTATTATTGTTCGAAATATTGAAACTATATTTCTGCTAATGGATTGGAATAAGGTCTGGAATAGTGAAGGTTATCAGTAGAATTGTTGTTGCTGGGTTAGGGGAAATCAAAGTTTCTCAACAGTGACCAGGTTCTTTCTCTGTAGTTCTAAGAACACATAGTATTTAAAAAAAAAAAAAAAAAAAAGCCCTGACCCCAGCCCAGGGGGGGTCTGCTAAACTTAAACAAAAAAACAACAACCCCCCCCCCCAAAACCTGTATTTATACATTTTAAAATGTATTAAAAAAATATTTAAGTCTAGAAAGTCAGTTCTTTTAATTGCATGTTCCCTAATAATGCACACTACTCAGAAAATCTCTTTTCCAGGTTGTTCTGGCATATTTAATTTAATTGGCTATTTATAAGCACAAAATCAAAAATTTTCAGTTACCTTTAAAAAAAAAATTTTTTTTACATGGGCAATGTTCTAGATTCATTTTAAATCCATAGAAATTGTTACTTATTTCAAATAAATCAAGAGTCCACATACGTTGTTAGTTACAAAGGCAATGGGAGAATGGGTGGAAGTATAAGGAAACAGGTGCTTTCAGAACATTTAGTACTTATCAATTTTGTTCCTAAAGTCACATTTTTTTATAAATATAGTTTATGTCAAAAGAAGAAACTTGCTTATTTTTGTAACCCGAAGAAGTACAGTTATCTATATTGCAATTGTCCACGAGAGTCTTGTATGTAATTCTATGCAATGGTATGGAAGAATGCATGAGATGTTTCCTAGCAGTACTGTAAACTCCTGTAGTATATAGCATTCGCAAAATGACCAAAGATTTTTGCATGATTACACATGCTAATTTAAGTCGTTTCACTATCATGATTTCAATACTTTCAGCAAAGATGTGAAAGTAGATGATTTCTTTTTCCATTCGTTTGTTCTAGCATTTGGAAAGTAAGCAAAAACTGGCGTGAAATTGTCGTACAAGATAAAAGTGCAGATAGGAGGAGAAAGTCCTATATGAAATACCTCAAAGAAGAAGCTGGGGTAAGGGTTCTCTCAAAGAAAATATTTTTCAAGTGTGGAAGAACATAGGCCATAGGAAAGAGTAAACATCTTGTAAAACTTGGAAAGCTGATAATGGCAGTGCTAACATCAGTGTGTAAAGAATTTTAACATAAGAATGTAATTGTTTTTATTGCTTTTTAACTCAGCATCAATGAGTACAAGCCTTTAACCATGTAATTTTTTCTTTTCTTTTTTTTTTTTTTTTTTGAGTATTCTATTGAATCAGTTCCTCGATTGATTCTGGCTTTGGATTTTAAACCCTGTTCTATGCTTTCACATACCATGCTGTTCCTCCTTCCATTTCACTTTAGCTTGCAATCCAGTAGGACCCACACTTGACTATTTCCTGATTATTTTCAGGACTGCTTGTAGCTTAGCCTCTTCAAACTGTAGTTGTGAGCATCAGAAGGTATGTAGATGTTTTTAAAGGGGTATTTAGAAGAGCAAGCATGTTAACAATAGTAGAATATTTTTTAGCTGGTCCTCACAACTTAGGCCCTGTGCATCCACGCACTTCAGTGTAACCTTGTTTTAATTGTGATGAAACTTTCATTTGTTCTTTCAATGCATACTATTAAGGCATATCCTACTTCAGGAACCTGACAGCCAGCAGGGAGTAATGAAGTGTTAAAAGACAGCTGGTTGGTTTACCCTGCTCATGGGACTATATATATAATGTATATTTTTTATGGTTCCTCTCTCTTGTCTACTTATTTAATACAAACATTTAATGAGAAGCATATGCACTATACATGGTTTCCTTTTGTATACTGTTGTTACACAGGGAAAAATCTTAAAAATAAGAAACAAAACCAGCTGCAAATAAAACTTGATTTGCTTTATTTTAACTTTTTTTTCCCCATCCTTATAATTGTCATCTTTAACAGGGGTATTTCTTGAAAGCTGAAGATGCTGCTACAAGATTTAATCTTCTCAGCAGATCTGCTCTAAGGCCTGTTCAAGCTCAAGCCAAAACTCCTGTAATACAAACCCCACCTTCTTGCACTGAACTTCTAACACCCATGAGATGCAACTCGGCTCCCCGGTCAATTAGCAGGCAGGAAGAATACATAAAAGTAAGCAGCTAAGAAATTCTTCATTCTCAGATTGTTAGAAGAATTTGAGTTACAAGAATTAAGTGGCTTTTTCCTCCTTTCTTTTGGTACAGGTTGCCAAAACCCTGTTCACTGATGAGGCTTTAAAACCCTGTCCAAGATGTCAATATCCTGCAAAATATCAACTGGTAAAGAAACGGGGACTATGTAGCCGAGAGGCCTGTGCATTTGACTTCTGTATTTTATGTCTGCATGCTTTCCATGGGTCAAAAGATTGTAGTAGTTTATCTGCAAAACGGCAGAACAAAAAAGATGCTCCTCCAGGAAGTGCCCAAAGCAAGAGAAACTTAAAAAGACTTTAAACTTGTAAGAAACATAAGTCCTTACGTTTCACTCATTTTCCCCTTCCCCTAAATTTCTGATCTTGTTCATATTCTTCCTAAATATACACACTTTGAAAGTCTCATCCAGTGTGTTTTTGCTGGCTTATCAAGGTAATGACTTCTCATGTATATATCTTAATCAATTTAGTGTATTTTTATGGTTTTGAAAAAAGTGAGCATTTTAAAAAATTGTCTGGTTTTACCTGTCATGTAGCTAGGCACTTACTAACATCTTAATTTTTCAATAAAGTACCTAAAATGTAGTCTTCAATATCTGGGTTACAGCATCTCAGATGTTTAAATACATGATTCTTGTCTTAATGACAAATTAAAGAAAATGAAGCTTTTAAAAAATCTTTTTGAGATTTATTTATTGCTTGCTTTAAGTTATAGTAAATGTTTTAAAAAAATATTACAGTGGGCCATTAAGTACATATGCAAAGGAAATACTACTACCTATGTAAATGATACCACAACAGCAATATATTAGTTGAGTCTGAATATCAGAATAATTATTTTGATTATTTTTTTTTTTCCACTTAGCCCACATAATGCGAGTGAATACAGGAATAATGTCTAAATCAAGCTGATGCTCTATTGATGTTCTGTTGTGCTGGGTTGCTTTTTGTTTTTTAGAATAATTTTGTCTTTACTTGAAAATGTTGGGTGATATAGAACCTACTTTATCTCTAAGCTCTTCCATCACCCTTGTTATTTTGAATTTATGGCTTATACCTGGTCTGACTTTGCTTTAGCTCCCAGGTATTGGATCACGTTCCTTTTTTTTGCTTGATTTAAAGAATTATCTACTGTTAGAAATCATCCTTTCTTTAATCTTAATTAAATCTAAAAAAATTAAGAAGGCTTTTTTGCCTTTGAACTAATGAGGCTGATCCTTTGCAGAAAGAAAAAACTCAATCTGTCTCAAACTTTTTAAAACTCGTAGCAATTGTTAAGAGCTTGAAATACAGACAACAGAACCTGACACAGTACTTGCTATATGGTGATATAATGTTAATTTACTACCCCAACTGATATTTTTCTACTTATACTTTCAGTGAGTTAATTTGTCATGAGCCTCTTGCAGCATGTTTGTGGTCAGCTGTTTTTTCCCCCCCAGTCCTTCAAATTTTTTGTCCTATGCTTTATATTCTCAATTTTGTGATTTTTATTGCGTGCATTCCTAGAGAGATTTAGCACTGGACTGTGTCTCAAATAGAAACAATATGGTAAGTAAGATGCCATAAAAGTGTTGTGTTGTGTGTGTTAGTTTCATCAACCAAGATGATATCGTTAAAGAAGGGATCAACTCAGAACTTGATATATCTGCCAGATGTGTTTATTGCATTAATTAAATTATTTTTTTATTCCATACACATTTGTACTCTAAGTCTTTGCATTATTTTTGTCTAGGGTTAGACTGGTAGCTCTTAAACTGGAAGACTGAAAGAGGAGTTTATAAGGAATGCACTCTAAGGGGATGGTTGAGGGGAAGGATTTTGGTGTAAGCTAGTGAATAGAGGTATGTGAATATATGATTTTGGCTTAGAAAGAATGGCAAGTCACTAAAGAGAGGACACTAAGTTGGGAACAGAGCAGAATTATTTAACGTTTGCGTTTCCTTAATAATTTGGAACTTTCCACGTATCCAAGATCTATTTAAAAGTTAATTTAATGATTTGGAGAACTGTTGGATTGGTTCTTTTATCATTCTTAAGTATAAAGTATATTTTAAATTGTATATTTTAGAGATGTTTAGTTTTTATGACAGGATAAGCTGATATTATGAAGAAGAAATTCCCAGGCAGAAGGATATATTATCAACTGTACACAGTCAGATTTTTGAATAACTTGATGATAACTTCATATGGATCCCATGAGGGGATGCTAGTAGTTGCAACACAGAATAAGTACAGCATGTCATAGCATTAAGACTCCTGTAGCCATCATTACATTAAATCTTTGCTAAATACCAATGTTATGTCTCTAATACTTAAAAAACAAACAAACAAACAAACTTTAAATGCATTCTTGAAATTGGTGGGAGAGTTACCACAGATGGTGAGATGATGTAGTTCACAATTCTGATGTGCAGTACTGCAATCTGGTCCAGAAAGACGTGGGACGCAATTCATGTGCTGAAAACTTCAGCAACGATTCTTCAAGTATTTCTGAAACAGGTGCCCCTTTGAAAGAGACTTCAACTCAGTTGAAGTCAGTTGCTGATAAATAACCTTCCACTTTGAGAAATATTTCTGATGTTTAGTATGAGAGATATGTGGACTTATCTAAAGAGTCTGTTTTTGATAAATTTGAATAATTCGGAGAGGATGCAGGTGGGGAATTGATGGTGTGAGGAAAAAATCATTTGAATCATTTCACAATTTTAAACTTGTTTCCTATTTTGGGATGTTAGGAACTTTTTTCTAAATTTGTATCACAAAAAATCTTTCTTGAATCGTAGGTCTCTTGTTCAGTTAGGTCTATCAAGGATGTAACTCTATGCTCTGTTCGGTGAAAGGAGTTCTCTGCTGCCATCTACTGATTCACTGGAGGGGAAAAAATGAGTAAGTCAGATTGACTTCTATGGGCAATGACTCTCTGCAAAAATGTGGGAGTTTTTTGAATAAAAATCTCTAAGAGAAGTGAAATATTGATATACTTAATGTGTGACTAACAGATAACATTTAATAGACTACAAGCACTGTTACAGCTATCTAACAGCCTCTAATGGTTTGTGTGAAGGAAATCAGTAATTTCAAAATGTCGGATTGCTCTTTCTCTATTGACAGAAATGAAAGTCTTCAGGCTAGGGTAACTCGACTAGGTAGCTAGACTGATAGCAGAGAGAAGGATGCAAAAGCGGTCCTGAGACAGAAGCAGTATAAAGGCAAAGGTCAAGAGTTTTCTCAAATATTCTGCCTACTAGTATTCTCAAGCTCTAGGATTTCTCTTAATACTGACAATAGCTTGCTGGAAAGGGAGGAGTGACTTATCTTTCATTCTGGAACGTGGGGATAATGAGGTTAAAATTAATACTCAAGAAAATATTGGGCTTATTTACTACTTACAGACTTATTTTTGTCATCTCCAATTCTGTTTTATACCTTAATTCTTTCCCACTCAGCAGGAGGAGCAATATTGCCTACAATAGCAGGAATAAAAAAGGAATGCGTTTAGATTTCTGAAACTGATGGTTTGGGCCAGGGCTGTGGATTTAAATTCTAAAATGAATTCTTAGAAATAACCTTTGCTGGCAGACCTTGCTGCAAGAGTTGTATACTTCATAAATCTGTTTTTGTGGAGCAGCAACCACAAAACTCAAGTGGTTTGTGAGAGGGGAAATTGATATG